GACCACACTTTGAGAAACTCTGCCCTATATGACACATACACTGGCAATCACTGTCAATGCCTGTATAATTTTAATATTGTTCATATTTTTATCTGTTTTATATTTTGTAAATTGTTAAGCCGATACCCTCTCCCAAACGTAATCGTCGTCGTCGTTATGTCTCGCCCGGTGTGTAAGAAAAATTTGTGCTCTCTTCCCTTTGAACCACCGTCGTGGTATCTTGGCTGTGTGCGTACAGCCAACATTATTTTGTTTTTTTTTTCGTGTGTGTCGTTCATTTTAATAATGCATTAATTTAACAAGGCTTCGGCCATTTTCGGGGCCGAGATCCCCATCTTAGGATGAGTCCCATCCGGGACTGGGTATCCTATATTGTTTTTTTATTTTTATTTAATATAATGTATTGAGCCTTTTTCTGTTGTAAATTTATTTTGTTATGAACTGTATATGGACTTTAGCATTGCTATTTATAAGGTTATTGGTCAGTGGTGTGTCATGTATATTTAATATATATATATATATATTATTTCCGCAGTGCCTCGTTTTAACAAGAATAATTTATATTGTAATATTAATAAATTTTAGTATAATTATAAACATATATTATAATTTTGATATTTATGAATATATATTTTATAAAATTATTTATATTTACAGTGTTTATTTAAAAAAAAATAGAGTAACCCTAATTTTAATGCGATAAAAGAATTCCAATAAAGTTGAAAGATAAAATCTACAAGACTATAAGGAGAGCAGCTATGATGTATGGTCCAGAGTGTTGGGTGGTTACAAGGTAGGTGAAATGAGGAGATCATTGATAATAGGTGAGGATGTAATAGGAGAGATGGACAGTCTTAAGTATTTAGGATCATTTTTGCAAAAGAGCGGTGGTATTGACGAAGATGTAAGACACAGTTTTAAGTTGCGAGTGGTTGAAGTGGAGAGAAGCGTCTGGTGTCTTATACGATTTATATTTACAATGTTTATTTAAAAAGAAATAGAGTAACCTTGATTTGAATGCGATAAAATAATTGCAATGAGATAGAAAGGTAAATTTAACAGGGCTATAATGAGACCATCTATGATATATGGTCAGANTTGCAATGAGATAGAAAGGTAAATTTAACAGGGCTATAATGAGACCATCTATGATATATGGTCAGAGTATTGGCCTGTTGATAAGAAAGTAGAGCAGAAAATGAGTGTAGTGTAATGATTAACTTAGTCGAATGAGTGGATTCTTTTAGTAAAAATTAATTTAAATTAATTATCTAGTATTTGATGACTCTTATCATAGATAATTGATGATTTTTCTACACCATTGACACTACAAACGTTAGGTAGGTATACCCATATAGCACCAATTGTTCCGAGAATATTCTCCGAATCTTTGATGCATTGTATGATTATTCTGCATGATTTACGAATATTCTTTAAAAATTATTTGAAATTATTCTAAGAGTATTTATATTAATTTAATCATAATTTTTCGGATTTTTTTGTATTCTATTATTTACAAAACATGAATATTCTAGAAAAAATTTGATAGAATAATTGACAAATAAGAATATTGAATTAATTGATAAATATTCTATTAATAATTTAAACATATTATTCAATCGACATTAGACTATTACCCATATAAGAATAGTATTATATAACATGCAATAATAATTTATTTATTACTAACAAAATTAGCCTTAAATGGGTAAAATAAATTATTGTTTATTTTATTCCTGTAGGCCAAGTATACTAGGCTTACAGGAATAATAAAATTATATGTTATACTACATTTTACTAATATAATTATGTCAATAAATTACTTAAGATTATAATTTATATTATTACATTAATATAGATATCTTTTTATTTTAGCCCTTAATATTTTTTAATTATTTTACTTTAAAAAATATAAATATACAGGCTAATTTTTAGCTTCGATGCGAAACTGAGAAGGTATTAATTTTAATATGATGTTTTTTTTTTATCTGTTACCATTTTTTCTCAGCTCTCACCGAACCGTAATGTATATAAAAGTAATAAGATAAATATATATAATAATAATATATAATAATTAATTACTTAGCAATTACTGTAGTCTTGAAAGTTGTACAAATGAACTGATCTGAAATAAATAACCTTTCAACAAAATGGTGGATACAATTCACTAACATCAATGGGATATGGTTAATAGCAAGGCGATTATACGTAGATGTATATGGGTACAGGTGAGTCGCATGGCGAATTTACTATATTTGCGTACTAAGGTACACGTGAATCGCTAGTGCGAAAAACTATTATGCACGAAAAAGGCCTTATGGAACACTTTGACAAGGTCCAAAATAGTAACAGCATNAAGGCCTTATGGAACACTTTGACAAGGTCCAAAATAGTAACAGCATCACATACACTACGACTCAAAGGATTTTCACATCGATATCATACATCGACCGCGTACGTAATCATCTGACATAATGAATTTCTCACACAAGCGGCGGTGGTAGTGCGAGTGATGTTATCAGTCATAATAAAAATTTAAGAAAACGCCCTCTCTTGATGCTTATCCAACACGAGTAACGTGTACTATTTACTTTGTTTCGTATTACATTTTTATATTACATTTTAACTTTGTGTTTATTACATTTCTTAAATAAAATAACTATTTAAAAACCTACACTTAGCGTAAATATTTTATATCCTGTTAAATTGTGTGTGTGTGCAGCAAGAGTCAAGGTTGGACTGCTGGTCCTTTAGTCAATCGTTATAATTAAACGTGCGTGCTGGCTAGTTTTTGGGCTTAACCGTCCTTTAGTAGGTATAGTGAAAAAGTAGTTGTGCTGGTGGCTGACAAGGAGCCACCCTTCAATCTGCTACTTTTGAGCTAGACAGTGCTGATGGGTCTAAACTCTATCCCTTTTGTAGTTCACTAATTTGAGGGATTGGGGCTATCCAGTGTATCCAACGGAAGGACCTGAGAAGAGCTTGAAACGCCGAACTCGTCGTCATATATATATATTAAAAAACATTAATTAATTTGTGTAAAATTTTTGTGTCTACGTCGGGTCACTACAGACGTACGACAATACCTTAAATTAAAACTTATGTAATATACTTTAATATGAAAAAAAAAATGTTCAGACTTTAGTTTGTTTTCATGGTGAAAACTAACATCAAAGTTAATAGAAAAATAAGATTTTTGTAAAAAAATTCTTTTTTATATTTTTAATTTTATAATGCTATACTTTTTGAAAAATATATGGATCAATACAATTTATTATGATAAATACTATTTATATACCTCATTCATTAAATTACTATTTGAGCTTTGTACACATGAAGATACAAACGCAATCATTTTAATAGATTTTTGAATTTTTATTTATTTATTTGTACAAATGTTACAGACTTGTAATTTATGAACAGAAATCTATAACGATGTACAGTTTTTGAGTACTAACTTTTAGTGAACATAAAACAGATTAAATTATTTAGAAATTGCGTTAAATAGTTTAATACGCGTTTATAATATCAAAGAATAATAGTTAGTGCTTCTTGAGTGAATTAATTTTTAAAAAATGGTAAGAAATTCTAAGAAAGACTTAGATATATGAAAAGTTATATGTAAATATTACATATTAGAATATTATTAAAAATATAACAATGTTAATATCTTTCCAAATTAATATACTTAATTATATAATTTATACATTTAAAAATTAAATTCTATTTGCATAAAGACAAATCCTATGTTCTCATTTGGTATATTTAAAATTCATTTATTTTTCACAATTAATAAAGGAAAAAAATATGTAATTATTATATTTTTAGATTTTGTCAAATCATTCGATTTTTGTTGTCAGTTTTTGTTTAGCTTTCCAAGGTAATAACTTAAATATTTTTTAATAACTAAAATACTACTCGGTTGTATAATACAAAATGTAACTGATAAATATTTGATAAAATATTTGAAGATGGCAAATTTATAGTTTTGGCCTTTTTCTTTTAAATATTGTACTCCGAAAAAAAATTAATCATAATGATTTAAATGCTGTTTCTATGATATACGAAAAAATTAAGTGACCTCGTACTGGACTTAGGATTAAGAACGATTGCGTCCCTAAATTTCAAAATTAGCCATCTAAAAATTCAGAAAGAATAAAAATATATTTTTAAAAAATCTTTTTATGGAAGAATCTTATTTAGTATTTATAAAAAATATGTCAAATATAAATATTTTCCTCACAGCACAAGTATATTATAAGAAGTACTTATCGAGTATAATAATTATACTATAATTATACTTAATTATTAAGTACTAGTTCATGTTACATAAATCCTTATTTTAATGTATTATGACTAATGGGTGAACTATAAGAAAATTGTATATAACACTTTTTAAGTTTCATAATTTACTTTTTATTGCATTATTCTAGATAAATAACATGTTTTTTAAAATAAAAAATTGTGGTTGAGGAGAAGAAAATATCTGCATAGACTAGCGCTATGGAATTAAATCTAATACATAATTACTATTCATAGTGGCACTAGATGTTGCCAGTCAAGCTGTGTAGGATTCTTTTTTGATTTTATCTTAATATTCTGTAATTTTTTTTTTCTTCGTGGCAGTTATAAATTTAGAAGCCTAAAACTATAAAGAAAAATGATTAGAATAGCAGTTATCACAGAGACGTATTAATATGGATACAATAATTAATAAATTAAACTAACTGCAAAAACAAATATAGATAATCTAAAAATTCAGAAACAATAAATATATTTTTTTATAAAAGTGTTTTTATAGAAGATTCTTATTTAGTATTCATAAGAAATATATAAAAAATAACTATTTTCCACACCGTATTGTTTGAATATGAAACATAAGCAAAATGTCAATAATACATATAAGTGTTAATATAGGATGTATTTATCAAGTATAATTAAGTACTAGTTATTGTTACATTAATCCTTATTTTAATGTATTATGACTACTGGAAATTTTGACTGTATTATTGTAGATAAATATAACATTTTCTTTTAAAATAAAATATTGTAGTTGATGAGAAGAAAAATTCTGCATAGTCCAGCGTAATGGACACGAACCTGTTAGGGCGAGGGGCTGCAAATCTTATAACGCTTACCTCAGCACCTCTAAACTCTATTTAGGAATGAGTGGACTGTATATTTTGGTAGGATCGTCTGCTCACACACGACATTACTTGAAGTCGGAGGGGTTATCTATAGGAGACAAGATGGTGTGTGAGACAATTAACAAAGGCAACTTAAACTAAAAAAAAAAAAAATGACTAGAATAGCAGTTATCACAGAGACGTATTAATATGGATACAATAATTAATTAATTAAACTAACTGCAAATACAAGAATAGATAATTCGATTGCCCCTTTGGCACAGTAATTATAATAAATGTAATAATAGGTAATATAAAATATATATATGTAACAAATATAATTTGTCGAAAGAAACTAGCCTAACACATAATACTTATGCATTGAGGCACATGATGTTGCCAGTTAAGCTGTGTAGGTGTCTTTTTTAAATTAATTTTATTATTCTGATATTTTTTTTTTTTTAGTTGTGGCAATTATAAATTTGGAAGCCTTATTTCGTGAATGTAAGAATACTTGAAATAATAATAGTGTATTCATGCTGTTATAAAAATAATATTAACAATATGAACTGTTCATACATAACTAATGTTTACATAATTTCAATTAATAACTATTATTGATAAAAGAAAATAGAACACTAACTATAAACGATGTTAAAAATTAATATATTATTAAATTATTAAACTTAACACATTAAAATGAATTAATAAACTTGGTCAAATTAATATCTTCTTAGCTTCGCAAGGATACTAATAAATTATATTGTTTTAGGCGATTATGAATTATGTGAAATGTGTTACAAAGTGAAACCGGAAGTAATATTAAAACCTTGTTTACACCGAGTATGTGTAGGTTGTGCTTTTAATACGAAATATGAGTGTAAGATTCCATCATGCAAACAATATATAAGAAATTATGATAATATAAGTGCGTATTTTAATTAAATTTGGAATCTACATTAAGCATACCATCTTCTATTTGTTTCATAAATATTCATTTTTGTTTAGTTAATGATATAAATGAAAATCTAGATATAATTTTATGAGTTTATTTATATAATTATATTTAAAATAAATTAATTGTATATTTTTTTTACAGAAGATAACGGCTTATGTTACGATTGCAAAGAAGAAGCATCTACAGTAACAATGCTTCCTTGTTTTCATAAAATTGGCAATAGTTGTGGTTTTTATAAATTATTCTCAAAAACGGATAGATGTCCACAATGTGACTTAAAAGTTAATGAATTTAAAAAATTAGGTATGGAATAAATGTTTAATTTATTTTATTGTGGTATAGATGGGGCATAGTGTTCAATAATATATTATTGAAATCTGACAGTGATGAATATCACTATCATAAAAAACAATTCAAAACTAATGTTAAGAATGTATTTTATTTTTAGTAGAATTTTTGAATTATGCAATTATATTATAATATTATAGTGTTGTGCAATGTACAGAATGATTTTATATCATAATCCACACAATTACTTTCGGTATAAAAATAATTTTGTAATTTTAATTTTTGTAACTTTTAGCTACTTTATGTTCTCTCATTATTAGCTAAGAAACACTCTTTAAGTTTGTCCCTTATAGTTTGTATGGTTATCAACTTTATTTATGAAATCATAACACATATTTTGATTTTAATAAAATGTTTATATTTTTTTTAATATTATTTATGTTGAAGAATAAATGTTGAAATCTTAGAAAAGCTAGTTTTTAAAAGTTTTATACAATAAAAAAAACTTAAAGTGAATTGTTAATTATATCATACTGTTAATACTCGTGAATGGACTGTAATCATAAAATAATAAAAAAAACAGAGTATGAAGCTCTACCATGTGTAAAATATATCAAATGTCGTTATAACCTAACTGCATGAGTAACCTACGCTGGTTAACCAGTAATACTATATGCGTTATGTCGTGTAGCTTAATCTGCGAGTATTGCGTAAATAGCCCTTAACATGTCGTGATATCCGCAGAGTACCATCGACATATAACAGTAGAGTACCGCCTTGCACGAGTACCCTAGACGTCAATCGACCACCGCAGTGCGCCGACAACGATGACTATAAAATAGAAATAATTAAAATATAGTTAAGGCACCATACTCTAATTATTTCTTTCTGATTGTAAATTATGCCCAATGTAGCTGTGCGCGGGTGAACTCATGCAGTTAACTTATTTAGAATTGCTCTAAATGTTACTCTCAATAATATTGTGTTATGTGTAAATTTGTCTATTGTAGACAAATAATCGTTATACGTTATAACAGTTGTCAGTTAGAGCTCTTCGTTTTTGTATGTAACTCATATTTTAGCTTCGATGTGAAGCTGAGAAGGTATTCAAGTATAATACACAAGGGATTACAAATACAGCAACTAATTGATTTTTTATGACATCGCTGTCACAGTCCTGGATTGTTTATTATCAATTATGACTATCAATAGATATACTTTTTATATTATCAGTTAGTGTATTTATAAACTCACAACAATTTGCCTTATTAACATTAATAATAACAATGCTGTGTATCTGCGAATATTGATGTCATAAAAAACCAATAAGCTACCTGTATTTGTATTACCTTGTGTACTATATATGTATATTAATTTAAAAATTTGAAATTTTAAATGTTTATATCTAACAAACGAATTAAGTTTTAACGAATTAAAAACTCAAACAATTTATCAAATTCAAAATATGTGTTCCCATTAGAAAAACAAAGTTGACACCCTTACCAGGCATATGGGATTAAGAACAGAGTTGATACCCTTACAAGAGATGAATTTAAAAAGTATTATATAGTTGATAATTCAAGAATAATAATCTTCTATTTCAAAAAGTTAAAAAAAAATATCCTGACACATTGCTATTTACATGTAAACGGACCCATAAAATATAATTTTAATAATTAAAATAAAATTTTTTGTATTGATATAATTATTTTTTTTTGTTTATATTGTCTGATTTTAAGTCAAACAGTAGAGGCCTATATGTAACAGGAGTTAAGTCACCTAATAATCCTCTTAGGTTACCATATAGGTTTAATATTAATATATTAACTTTGCTTGTTTTACATTAAGAATTTTGTCTTCAAAAAGAAGACAATTTGTACTGGGCGAGTGGTTGTTTGAGTAATCACTTCATACAAATAAAGCAATTTTAATTTTAGAACTAGTGAGAAATCATTGTCAAAACTGCAGAACCGAACTTTCTGTAAAAAAAATGAAGCATTGTAACCATTTTGTTGGGCAGAATTGTATAAATAGAAATAAAACGACAAAGTGTCCAGTAAAAATGTGTAATCAAATTCAAGATCATTCTTCGGAAAATGGTAAATTTCCAAATATTTAAATTATACAAGTTTATCTCTACTAATATTATAAAAATAAATATACTCAAAAATAATTATTACAAACAAGGAAAATCTGATTTTCATATACAAATTACATATCTGACATTAAAATCACTATCAAAAAACGTATAATTTTATAAAAGTACATAAAAAAACTAGTACACGTGAGAAGTGCCATAGTTGGGACAAGAAAAAATGATATTTGATAGTAATTAATATCACGATCATAATAAAAAGTTTCGAAACGTTAATTTTATAAAATAAAGTATCTAGGATCATAAATATTAACTAATCTAATAATTATTAGATTAGTTATATTATAATTTATATTATATAAGGAATTTAGTAAAGTTTTTTAAATATACTTTTGTTAACAATTTTGTCAATAAACAATGTCACGCAATTTGCATAGTTTTATTATAATTCTTAGACTGTTTATGTTGGATTCTATAATTTTTGAAAATAAAATGCATTGGTGAATCAGCACTTATTTGTAATTTAACCATGTTTTATTTAAAATATAATTGTAATTTAATATTTTACATTAGACAGTGAACAAACATGCTGTATTTGTAAATTAGAAGAAACATTGAGTGTAACATTAAGTCCTTGTTATCATAAAATATGCAATAAATGTGCTAATGAGCTATCACTAAAATATGGTACTAAATGTCCATTATGCAGAGAACCAATATTACGTTATAAAAATATAGGTAATTATTTAAAAAATATAATTTATCTTTACAAAATAACAATTACTTAGGATTTAAAATTATAACAATGTTAAAAATATTATTAATTTAAAACTAAAAAATAATAAACTCAAATTACACTCAAACATGGATTATCATCCGAATTAGAAAGAGTCCGTTTTCAATAAATTTAATAATACCTGAACAAATAGATGATTTAAATGTGGTAAGATATTCATTTTCTTAAAACTATTGAGAGTTTTTCATTTTTGTAAAAAAAAAAATCAGCTTTAAACACTACAATAATTAGTAGTTAATCTCCTAATATAAGGTATGGCGGCGGTCTTTGTATTTTAATCGAATTCCGAGATATAGTTTTTATTTTTTTAGAGCACTCGTATACGTAAGTCAATTTCACTAAAATGTATACGAGATTCATTCAAATTATTTATGCAAATTTTTATTCTATTTTTTTTTTTTGAAATATCAATTGCTGTTTGGGCACAACAATTACTTTTATCATTTTACTCTTGTTTATAAGTTTATTAATTAAAAAATAAAATATGCCCAATTTTATAGAAGCATTATTCGTGAAAAATGGAAATGTATATTGACAATCATCTTCCATATTTTGATAATGTAGCTAAAGAGAATGTTGAATACTAAGAAAAACTTTCAATAATAAATTTATAATTTGGGAAAATATTTTACTGTCATTTATTAACTTTAATCCTAACAAAAATCTGAATATAATAAGAAAAAATTGAGTAAGGTAGTAGCAAAATGTATTTTTTCAAGGGACCACCAGATGAAATAATTCTTAAGTATATATCATTGATTAATAGTAAAGTAGATAAAATAAAATAAAATATTTTAAGAATTGAAGTAAGATACAAATTTGAGCAAATACAATAGCATTTCGGAAATTGTGAAAATAAAAATAGATTCTCTTTTAAAAAATCGTAAAAATAAATCATAAATTTAAAATATGTATGTCATTAAAGTTTAATGATATATCCAAACCATAATCAGCGTGGACCAATAAATTATTTTTTTAGAAACTATTGAAAGTTTTTCATTTTTGTAAAAAAAAAAAATCAGCTAAAAAAAATATAATAATAAAAATGTTAAATTTTCATTAATTAATTTTAACAATAATATAAAATTAATAAGAAAAAATTTAATAAAGATGGAAATTATATAAAAAAAAATATTGTATAATATAAATATAGAAATAGATTCTCTTTTAAAAAATCATTAAGGTAAAATTAGTGATTATGGGAATATAAATTATATTGGTCACTAAAGTTTAATAATATAAAAACTAAAATCATCGTAGAACAAGACATTATAAGACTTATAAATGTAAAAACATTAAATTATGTATAAATTGTAGAAATATTGTTTATGAGAACTAAAACTCTAAAAATTATAGAGGACCTTTTTATAGATTTAACAATATTAATAGATATTTTTATCTTAATAATTGATGCTTTATTTACAATTACTTAGAAAAATCAACTAATCTTAAAAATATGCAATGTAGTTTAGAGAGATATACTTTTTACAATGCTAAAAATATTTAGTTATTATTACATTTATTAAATAAATAATATTTTTGAGTTTATTTTAACTTCATATATAACATTTAGAGTTAATAGAAAGATGTGCATGCAAAGAAGAACTTCGACACGTTGTATTAAAACCTTGCCTTCACAGAATAGGTATATTGTGTGCTAATTTTATTAGTAATAAAAATGAATATCATCCGAAGTGTCCAATATGCCGCGTAAAAGTTGAAGAATTCTGTCACGATGGTTTGTACTTATTATAAAATATTATGCGATTGTTTAAAAATGGCTCATGCAACACCATAATGAATTAAAAATATATAGTATAATTTTTTTTCTTCAAAATTTATAGTGTTCTACAATTTATAGTTTTATAAAAAAAATGGCCCTTTAATGGTAAAGTTGGGAATTTCCTTTTAAAGTTGTATCATATTTGTTTTTTACTAGAAACTTATATGTTTAACACACTTTATATCATGAGAATGATCCAATTGTCTTAAAAAAAAATGAAAACAAAATCTTAATTTTATTAAAAATTATAAGAGATGCAAGTAATATCTGATATATCTCGTATGATTCCATTTAAAAAATAAAAAGTGGCACAATTTTCAGATGTTTGGAGAGAGCTCGAGAATAAATTTTTTGCTGTAAATAATAAAATTTAACAAAATCTGGAAACAAAAAATTATTGTTTCTTTTGTATTTTGGAACTCATTAAATGAGTCGACTTATATATGTTATAATAATATTAGAATGATTAATAATTTTAGTACAATATAAAAAAACTCAGCACATTTTTTCAGCAGGGTCACGGCATAGTAGGGACGTTGCACAGTGGGACCAAACGCTGATTTAGCCGGCCAAAAGTACCATTTTTAAATCAACTAATAAAAATTTTTTTTTAGCAAATTTTCTTTATTATATCCTTATAAGGTCATGTACAAAAATTCAAGGCCAAAAATTGATACAGATTGGTTTTATCAGTTCGATCAACTTTATCAGCTTAAAAGTTGTAAAAATTAGATGTAATTAAAACTAATGATTCGTTAAAATTAAGTTTAAATAAAGTTTTTAATAATACACATAAAATAAAATACTATTATTACCAAAACATTTTTCTGTTTGAAATTTTGATTACATAATATTACAAGTAAATATAGAAAATAATGTCTTGCACTTTTCTTGCAAAAAATTATCATGAATATGTAATGCAATGACATAGTCCGTTTTGTTTACAATGGGTTGTGTTTAAAATGTGAAACATCACTAAAAATTAACATATAAAGGGAAACTCTGTTCAATTATTTAATTGATAATTTACAATTTAATAATGTCTTATATTTTTTTTTAGAGCCACTCATAAGGAATGCATTAAATCCATCATATTTAAGGCGTATAAAAAATGTAACATCACATTATTTGAGTAAGTAGAATTTATTAGGTGAGCTTAGAGATGATGACTAGTAAATAATTAAGGCTTTTTTAACAAGAAGACAATTAAAGGAATTTTTTCTGAATAATGAATATTGTAATATTAATAAGATTTTTTTAATTATAAACATAATATGTTTATAATATATTATATTATAATTGTGATATTCATTAATATATATTTTTATAAAATATTTATATTTTCTGTGTTTATTTTTAAAAAAAATAGACTAATTCTAATTTTAAACTTATAAATGTGTAATTTATTTAATAAAAATTTCAGTAATACTCCTTAATAATCGTTTGAAACATTTAAGCAACAAATTCTATTAGAAACAATTAATTAAAATTAATTATATAGTATTTTATGAATCTTATCTTCTTGAGTGATTTCTTTATACTGTATAAATACATTGATCAACAGGAACTTCCATGGGAATCAAAAATATATTTTTTTAAATCAACTTTTCGGACTGTTTTCAAATCTGAAATTAGACTCTCTTCATTACTTATAAGTTTTGATAGTATAATTAATTATTAAAAATGTATTTATAATATTTATATGCAAAAAAATGTATTAAAAACAAAATAAAATTGTTTTTAAATTATTATAGATTTTGATTTTTAATATGTTAAAAGTAATTGATAAAAAAATTATTTTTTAACTTATTATTTTAATCTTAAAAGTTTATTTTTTGAAAGTTTTTAATAGAAGAAAAGTTGAATTTGTTACCATAGCTTTAAGCTCGACTTCAAGTTTAAAATATACATTATTAATAGAGAATTTTAAGAGAATTAAAAAAATAGTATTGTTAAGATTAAAATACAGTAAGGAAATCGAATGTTTGCGTGTTTATTGTAATAGATCACATAAAAAAAATTCATAGTAATCATTTCTAAGTAACTTTTGGTGTTTTCAAGTATCTACGATTAAATATTCAGAAAATAACTAATATTATACCTAAAACTATTGGCAAAACGATGTTAAGTAATCTAATTTCTATAAGTAAACCATATTTGCAGTTAATTTTTATGAATTCATTTTCTAGTTGATACAATTTGGAAAATTATTTGACATCAATATGAAAAATCAACACAATTATATCGATGAAAAACACGGATTCAATTACTGCGTTTATCGGACGATTTTTCAACAATAACACGAAATTTTTATCTAACGACAACAAATTTTACACGTACAGAAAATATCTCAAGTATCCAGAATGTGCTGATTACTGTTATTGTTCTATTCAGCCAATTTATCTAATTATTCATGTTATATCAATAAAGATAAAGTTCCACATTTCCTAATTTTCACAATTTACATTTATAAACTTACATATAATTATATAAATCTTAAACTAACAATAAACTAAAATTGAGTAAACTTGACTTAAGATCTTGTAGCTTTTGGAATAATCCACCAATTTTTTAAAATTAAAAACTATCTACAGATTTGCATCGAAGCATTTTATTGTAATAATAGTATTAACGTGACAAAAATTATGTTATCATTTTATTACTCACATTATTGTGTATTTAAAGAAAATATTGTAAACTTTGTTTCAATTAAATTATATGTCAATAAAAATATCTGGAAACACTAATGATGTTGATCCCTAATTGAATTAAGAGAAAAGTATAAAAGACGGATTAACTTGGCATAAAAAACTCACTTTCACTTAGAATCTCTGAATGTCAGTTAGTTCATCAACATCATCAGTGTGAAAAGACACATTTTAAAAAAGAAAAAAAAAGAATACTTATTCAAAGGTAAGCAAAAATGCTGAACATAAAATTTAATATAAATAATAAAGTAAATAAGTACTTTTGGTAGAATAGAATCCATATAGAGCAGATTTCGTTTGAGCTGTTATTTTAGGGTTGGCGATTGCTCTGGATTTTTAGTAAATTAAAATTTACATATACATATGAATAGTAATATTCCTTTTTATTTGGAATTGTATTAATAAAAAAAAAAAGAAAACCCTCGGAACACTGACCCCGATATAAAAAGTAACTCAAAGAAAATAATAATAAGGAATAAAGCTTAAGACCATAAGAGTCTCAATTATTTCAATATCTGCTCAAGCAACGCATCTATACATAATATTATATATTCTTGTTCTTTTAAATTAATTATTTTATATAATTCCTTCGTCTCTTTTTTTGAGTTACAACAGTTTCTTATGGTAGTGATTTTAATCACTGTCAGATATCATTATACATGATACAACTATGCCACGTCACCACTGTGCCGCGACCCCCCTGTGCTGGGTTTTTTTTTTTTTGATTATTCTTAGTTACACATTATTCTTGAATTATTAACTATGTAATACTTTTTAAGTTAATCCCATATGCCTGGTAAGGGTGTCAACTTTGTTTTTTTAAATGAGAACACATTTTGAATTTAATAAAATGTTTGAGTTTTTAATTTAATAGTAATAGGCATTTGAATTTTTTATATACATTTATTTGTTTATTAGATATAAACATTTAAAATTTCAAATTTTTGAGTTAATATACAGATATAATACATATGGGTTACAAATACTGGTAGCTAATTGGTTTTTTATGACATCGATATTAGCAGGTACACAACATTGTTATTATCAATGTTAGTAAAGTACATTGTTGTGAGTTTATAAATACACTGACAATACAAAAAGTATATCTATTGATAGTCATAATTGGTAATATTATACTATATTTATACGTATAATAAACATTCCGTGACTGTGACAGTAATGTCATAAAAAAACAATTAGCTATCTGTTTATTATATTCACTATTATAAATTAATTTCCATTTTTCAATTAATATGATAAATAAATTAAAACATAATATTATATTATGATTACTCAGTAATATTAATTAAAACTCGTATTACGTGTAACAACTATTTTGTTTGTTGCACCCTTGCACCTCGTAATAAACCATCTTTTGAAAATTTTCCTTAAGTTTTTTGTGAAAATTATTCATGTAATTATATGTTAACAACTTTTTCAAACAGTGGCGCATTTAGGGGTAGACCGTGACCTAGGGTGGCATTTTTTTTCAATTAAGAACTAAAATCTTATTAAATTTATTATTTATTTATATGTAACATAATTTAATAAATTATATTAATTAATCTTAAAATGAATAAATAAAATAAAATTATATAAAATATATGTAACGCTTTATTTTCGAAAATTTAAGCATTGTTGTTTAAAAGTGTATTAATAATTTTTAATTTAAAATGTATGCAATTGTAAATACATTTTTTTTAGAATTTGTGTAATTAAATTATTTGTATAGTTTTGACGAATTACTTTAAATAAATTAAATTAGCAAATTATAAATGTAAGTGTTAGTAATAAATTATTGTCATTAAACAGTTTTATATTAATTAAAAATAAATATTTAAATATTAAAAATCGTTCGACGAACGGACGATTCAAAAATAGACCCCCAGATAGGAGGAAAATAAGACAATTGAAGCATAGCGTTATAAATGTATGTTAGAATCAGTATGCTTTTTTTTGATAGATTTATTAGTATCTTGTTGGTAATGAGGTCGATTCCAGGAGCTTTGCCTTTGGCTAGTATTTTAATTGTAGCTTAAATTTCACCGGGGTATAGAGGTTTGATAGGGAGAGCCATAGGTAGAGGAAAGCAAGAAAATTATCGACTATATGTATGTGACTTGAATCAGTTATAATGTCATGGTGTGGTTTGAATGATTTGGCTAGGTTTTTAGCAAATAGCTCTGCCTTTTTATGATCTGATACAGCTAATGAACCATCTCTTTATGGAGAGGAGGGATTCGTTCTTTGATCTTGGTTAGTCGTTTTGTGGCTTTCCACAGAGAGTTGTCCATAGGGTTAAGTCAGGTTAGGTATCTTTCATATTACTCAGACTTAAATTTTTTAGTTGTTTTTTTAAATTATTAGCTAACTTGTTATAAATGTGTTTATAGAAGTCATAATGTGTGTTTTGCCATTTTACCCTAGCGCGTCATTTTTCATTGATTAATGATTTTATATGAAGAGGGAGTTTTTTATTTACAGCGCTTTTTGGTGGATTTGTATTAGGTGATGCTGCATTGGCAGAGTCTATTATCAACTGGATGAAGTTATGGGCAGCTTGGTCAATGTCTTTCCGTGTTTTCAGTGAAATATTAAGGTTAATATCATTATCCATATAAATTTAAAATTGTTCCCAGTAGATGGGTCCATTTGTAAGGGATGGCTTGGGAGGGATCAATACTTCACCTCCAATGGTAAGTATGACTGGAGAGTGGTCACCAGAAAGGTCGCTAATATTTTCTATATTTGTGTTTATCTGATTAGATATTTTTGATATAAAAAAATCCGATATGTCAGGATGCCTATTGGCATGGGTTGGCCAGTGCGTTGGTCCGGAAAGAGAGATATATGAATAGTGTTGATTGGTTAAAACCGAGTGAAGAGACTTACCTCTTTGATTATTTAAGACACTACCCCATAAAGAATTTGTTGAGTTGAAATCACTGCCAGCTATGAATAAGTGATCTTGAGTATCAAAAAATTGCAGAAAGTCTTCCTGTCGTATATTATAGTAGGGAGGACAATAGACAGCTGAAATAGTAGTCGGAATGCTATTTATATGTATTAGTACACTAGTCATTTGGATACAGTGCTTTTGATATGAAGTTTTTTGACTGTGATGTATGTCATTTGATATTAAAATGGCAGAGCCACCGCGAGAAGTTCCGTCTGGATGGTTAGTTTTGTATAAAGTATAGTAAAAAATTTTTTGTAAAAAAGTTACCATTTTGAAACCCCTTCCTGTGGGTTTGTCAAGTGTCAAATGTTAACAAAAATATATAAAATGATAGGTAAATATCTAAGGTATCTATAAAAAAAAAATTATATTGATTCGGTCATTTTTGAAAAAGTTATGGCAGTTTTAAGTACAAAAAACATCCCGATAAAATGTAATTTTTATCGCAAACATTACATTTTTTTTTAAATTTTCGACAGCCATTTGCACATAGAAGATAAGATGTCGGGACAAATTTTTTTTTTTCATTTGATAGTATATAAAATAAGCTTTGATTTGATATATGTTTAAAGGACGCAGTATTTCCGGAACATTTTCAAAAATTAAGTTGAAAAAGTTATTTTTTGTAAAAAAGTTACTATTTTAAATCCTCCCAGTGAGCAGAATAAGTGTTAGATTTTCAAAAAAAATTATATCAAATGAAAGGGAAATATCTAAGGTTTCAATACAAAAAAATATTATTTTTATTTGTTCATTTTTGAAAAAGTTATGGCAGTTTTAAGTACAAAAAACATCCCGATAAAAGGTAATTTTTATCGCAAACATTACATTTTTTTTAAATTTTCGACAGCCATTTGCACATAGAAGTTAAGATGTCGGGACAAATTTTTTTTTTCATTTGATAGTATATAACATAACCTTTGATTTGATGTATGTTTAAAGGACGCAGTATTTCCGGAACATTTTCAAAAGTT